ATAGGGATTGCATTTAATGTGTATATTGCTTTGGGCAGTATGGATGTCTTAGCAATATTGATTCTTACATTCATAAACATGGAATATCTTTTCATTTTCTTGTGTCCTCTATAATTTCTTACATCAGTGTTTTATAGTTTTCATTGTAGAGATTTCTTACTTCTTTGGTTAAGTTAATTCATGGGTATTTAATTTGTGGCGATTATAATGGGACTACTTTTTTGATTTTTTTTTTTACACTGTCCTCTGTTGGCATACAGACAGTGCTGATTTAGGTATATCAATTTTGTGTCCAGCAACTTTACTGAATCTGTTTATCAGTTTTGGTAGTTTCTTTCAGTGGTCTTTGATTTTTCCAAAGATCATATCATCTGCAAATAAGGATAATGTAACTTTTTCCTTTTCAATTTGGATGCCTTTTATTTCTTTCTCTTGTTTGATTGTGCTACCAAGAACTTGCTGTACTATGTTGAATAACCATGTTGAATAACCATGGTGAAGGTGAGCATCCTTTTCATGTTCCAGATCTTCCAGGAAAGGCTTTCAGCTTTTCTCCCCATTCAGTATGACACTAACTGTGGGCCTGTGACATACGGCTTTTATTGTGTTGAGCTATGTTTCTGCTACACCCAGCTTTTTATGGCTTCTTTTATGAAGTGATGTTAAATTTTATCAAATGTCTTCTCAGCATCAATTGAAATGATCTATGATTATTGTCCTTCATTCAGTTTACATGATGTATGACATTAATTTGCATATGTTGAACCATCCCCAAATCCCTCTTCCCTCCCCTTTTCACATGAAGAGTCTCTCCCCTGTGGCCACCACTGCCCCAGTTCCATGGTGAGTACCACCTGACTACTGCTGATGTTCGTTCAAGGCCCAAGGGCTTTTTGATCAGCTTGTGAAGAATGCTGCCCTGCCTGAGACTCTCCCTTCAGGGCAGTGGGTTCCCCTCTGGCTCAGGGCAGGTCCAGAAATGCTGTTCAAGAGCCAAAGCTTGGAATCAGGGACTTCAAGAGCCCACTTATTGCTCTACTCCACTGACTGAGCTGGTAGTTAAACTGCAAGACGAAGTTCCCATTAGTCTCCCTCTCCTTTTCTCAAGCAGAAATCCCTTCCCACAGCCACCACAGCTGGGAAAGTTCTAGGTGACGTCTGAAGCACATCTCCGAATCTCACCAAAGGCTCACGGGGAGTACTGCCTGGGACCACTACTGATTATTCAGGACCCAAAAGCTCTTTAGTCAGCAGTGATGAAATCCTGACAGGATTGGGTCCTTTCCTTCAAAGCAGTGGGTTCCCTTCTGGCCCATGGTGTGTCTGTAAATGTCTATAAGCTAGGGCCTGGATTTGGGGTCTGATATGGTTAGGCTTTGTGTCCCCACCCAAATGTTATTTTGAATTGTAATCCCCACGTGTCAAGGAAGAGATCTGGTGGGAGGTGATTGGATCACAAGGGTGGTGTCCCCCATGCTGTTGTGATAGTGAGTTCTCACAAGATCTGATGGTTTTATAAGTGTCTGACTGTTCCTCCTTTATGCATTCACTCTCTTTCACCTGCCGCCACATAAGATGTGCTTCTTCCCTTTCTGCTATTACTATAAATATCCAGTGGCCTCCCCAGCCATGTGGAATTGTGGATCAATTAAACCTCTTTTCTTTATAAATTACCCAGTCTTGGGAAGCTCTTAATAGTGGTGTGAGAACAGACTAATACAGGGTCTCAGCTCTCTGCCTCATGCTCTGTCTTACTGTGGCTGAGTTGGTGTCCAAGTTGCAAGACACCATCCTCTTTACTCTTCCCTCTCCTCTCCTACAGCAAAGGAAGGAGTCTCCCCTGGAGCTTCAAGCTATATTGCCTGGGGTGGAGTGAGGAGTGACAAAATCACTCCCTTGGCCACTCCAACTGGTGTCTCACTGAGACATGTGCCCCCAAAGTCCACTGGCTCCAAGCCCAGCACAGCACCAGGACTTGCCCAGGAATTGCAGTACTCATGGCCTAGACTACCTTTCAAGTTTATTTGGAACCCCAGAGCTCTTTAGCCCCCTTTAGTCAGAACTCAGTTTCCAACTGCTGGGATGAGCAAGTCTCTTCTAGTTAGGGTTGGTCTAAATGATCCGTTTGCGGGTGCTAGTGGAATTCTGCCTAATATTGCTTTTCAGTGTGACAAGGCAGCATGGAGTTCTAATGCAAAATCCCATAATCACTGTGCCTTCCTTCCCCAAGTACACAGATTCTCCACACCATGTGGCAACTGTTGAGGGAACGGGGAAGGGGTGGTGGCAGGAATTCAAGACTGTCTTTTCTACCGTTTTATGCCTTTTTCAGTGATATGAAGTTAAAACCAGGCACTGTTCCCTCTAGTCTTGAGTTTCTGAGATTCAATTTACTAATACTCTATTGAAGATTTTTGCATCTGTGTTCCCAAGAGGTATTAGTCTATATTTTTCTTGCAATGTCTTTATCTGGGTTTGGTATCAGGATAATACTGGCCTCACAGATGAGTCAGGAAGTTTTGCTCTCCTCAGATTTTCTGGAAGATATTGTAAAGCACTGGGCTTATCTCTTCCTTCATGTTTGGTAGAATTCATAAGTGAAAGCATCTGGGCCTGGTGCTTTCTATTTTGTACAGTATTGTTGATTCCATTTCTTTAATAATATAGACCTATGTGAATTAGTTATTTCTTATTGTGCAAGTTTTGTTAGATTGTGTATTTTATGTGATTATTTTTTAGATAGTGTATTTTAAGAAATTAGTCAATCCCATCTAAGTTAACAACTACATGGGTATAGAATCTCCAGACTTTTTTATTCCTTCCTTTACAGTCTGCCATGGCAGTTTTTGCTTCTCCAATTTAATGTGGGCCATGACTTTCCATAAAGGTCCAAGAGCAATCCAGCATTAGTATTATCTCCAAGGGCTCTTGCCTTATGCTACATTCTGTATCATGGGACAGTAACTTTATAGTAAAAAACATATAATCACTCCCCTATTAGTTTTCCCCAGGACATGCCTAACTGATTCAGGCTTCAATGTAATCCTAGTATTGGTCTAGTGGCCAGAAGGAGAATTGAGGGTAAATGCTAAGGAGAATCAACACTTTATTGCTAACTGCCTAATAGTTTTCAAGAAAGGGAGACTCTGTACTTTTGCAATAGAGAATTGGTGCCACTTCTGCAAACCTAGAGAGCACAAGAGGAATTTTTTTTTTTTTTAGGAGGAGGAGTCTCACTCTGTCACCAGGCTGTGCAATGGCACAATCTCCACTCACTGCAACCTCTGTCTCCTGGGTTCAAGTGATTCTCCTGCCTCAGCCTCCTAAGTAGCTGGGACTACAGGCATGTGCCACCACCCCCAGCTAATTTTTGTATTTTTAGTATAGACAAGTTTCACCATGCTGGCAAGATGGTCTCAATCTCTTGATCTCATGATCCACCTGCCTCAGCCTCCAGAGTGCTTGGATTATAGGCGTGAGCCAATGTGCCAGGCCAGGAGAAATATTATTGCTCAAGTACATTTACCCAGATAACCTTCTATCAAATCTTGCAGTCTCACTCCTTCTCTATCAGGGAATTATCTTGAGCATAGAAAACTTGGCTAGGCTGAGAATTCACCTTTCTCTGAAGTTCTCCCACCCCTAAAAATTAGGTCCTGCGTCTGATCTTCAATTGTATCTCTCTTCCACTACCAAGAAATGAGGTCATTGTGAAGGCTACCTAAGCAGCCCGCTAGCTCTCACATTTTGTTTTGCATTGGTGGCAGATGGCCAGGCATGGTGTCTCATGCCAGTAATCCCAGCACTTTGGGAGGCTGAGGCAGGCGGATCACCTGAGGCCAGGAGTTTGAGACCAGCCTGACCAACATGGTGAAACCCTGTCTCTGCTAAAAATACAAAATTAGCTGAGCGTGATGATGCATGCCTATAATCCCAGCTACGTGAGAGGCTGAGGCAGGAGAATTGCTTGAACCCAGGAGGTGCAGGTTGTGGTGAGCCAAGATCACACCATTGTACTGCAGCCTGGGGAACAAGAGCGAAGCTCCCTCTCAAAAAGTAAAAATAAATTGGTGGTAGATTGTCCTGAACCTATAATTTTCTTTTCAAAATTCTACAATAACCGTCCAATTTTCCAGTTCTTGAAATCATTCTCATCTATGTTCCAAATGCCATACTTTACAAACCTACGCAACCTCTTTCATAATATCCAATCCCAGTCCACACAAGTGAATGACTCAGCAGTTGTCCTCTACTGCATACCGCCAAAGGCTATCAGAACTGGTGATGAGGTACACTGTCATACATCCAGAAAGTGATCCAAATTGGGAATCTCATTCGTAGAGTCTACTTCCTGGAAACATTTCTGGAAATGGCTGCATTAGGTTGAGTTCACTAGACACAGAGCCTGAGACAGGGTTTGTAATGCATGTGATTTGAGAGACTGCTTTTCAGGAAGATATTCCCAGAAGGAGAGAAGGAAGCATAACAAGAAAGGATAAAGTGTCAGGCAAGGATATGTTTTCTGGTAAAGGTTAGCTATGGCTTAATCCAGAGGGGGAGGCTCAGAAGCATAAACCACACCACAGTGTTGACCCTTCTTGAGGCAAAAGTCCAGTCTTTCATAGCCCCATATTAGTCATTCACTGTCTGAGGACCATTCTCAGAGGGGGTATAACTTCCCAGGGGTGACGGCTCTCATTAGAAGATGGCAATTCTCAGAAGCATTTGACATTGTTAGCAGTTGACACGCAGCATCTGGAGGTGTGGGTCCACTGGCTTGTTAAATGGGGATCTGAGTAAGACATCATTACATTACAAGTGATGAAAAGAGTTTTTATCTATACTTAATGCTGTGAAAACTGGATACCCAGTTGACTGAAAAAAATATTGAATTATCTTCATAACATATTAAAACTTCAATTCTAAGCAGATTGTAAATATACATATTAAAGGTGACACAATAAAATTCCCAGAAAAAAAAGTATGCTATCTTCATATTCTTTTTTTTTTTTGACCTCTGAACTTTTTATTGGCCTCCTGCTCCCCCAAGGATCCCCTGCTTCTGCTGGCCTAATGTCTCAGAACTTTGGTGTCGTTGGTCTCAGACACCACTTTGCCATCCACTATCCGGCGGGTGGTCGTCTTTTGGATGGTTTGCACGGAGTTGCTGCTGTTCAAGGCATCACCGAGACTGAAGTCCTCCCCATCTTCCAGCAGGCGACGGTAGGTGGCGATCTCAGCCTCCAGCTTGACCTTGATGTTCAACAGAGCCTCGTACTCCTGGGCCTGGCGCTGTCCTTCTGCCCGGGTCTGTGCCGGCTCTGACTCCAGGTGCAGCAGAATCCCGTTGAGCTGCTCCATCTGCAGGGCATAGCGGGCCTCCACCTCCCTCAGGCTGTTCTCCAAGCTGATCTTTGTATTTCTCATGGAGTCCAGGTCAATCTCCAAGGACTGGACTGTAGTCTTAGCTCTGTGAGTGTCATCCCAGCAGTTTCAACCTCAGTGGACTGTGTGGTGACTATTGTGGTACTCTCCTCAATCAGCTGAGTCCAGTACTTGTCCAGTTCCTCTCGGTTCTTCCGAGCCAGCTCGTCATACTGAGCCCGGATTTCTGCCATGATCTTAGCAAGGTCCTGAGATTTGGGGGTATCTACCACCACGGTCAATCCAGAGCTGGCAATCTGGGCTTGTAGGCCATTTACTTCCTCTTCATGGTTCTTCTTCATGAAGAGCAGCTCCTCCTTGAGAGCCTTGATCTCTGTCTCCAGCTGCAGCCAAGTGACATTGGTGTCATCGATGACCTTGTGGAGACCATGGATGTCGCTCTCCACAGACTGGCGCATGGCCAGCTCTGTCTCATACTTGACTCTAAAGTCATCAGCAGCAAGACGAGCATTGTCAATCTGCAGAACGATGCGGGCATTGTCCACAGTATTTGAGAAGATCTGAGCCCTCAGGTCCTCGATGGTCTTGAAGTAATGGCCCCAGTCTCTGACCTGGGGTCCCTTCTTCTCCAGGTGCTCCCGGATTTTGATCTCCAGCTTCCGGTTCTCGGTCTCCAGGCTCCTGACTCTGTCCAGGTAGGAGGCCAGGCGGTCGTTCAGGATTTGCATGGTCTCCTTCTCGTTCTGGATGCCTCCCATTCCTGCCAGACCCCTGGCCATCCCCGCGGTCAGGCCCCCCGACCCCCATGCCGCTCCGGACGCTGGTGGAGCGCGTCACGGAGACGCGGGAACCAGAGCCCCCGGCGCCTGCATAGACGCTGGCCGCGCTGCTGACTGGCCGGGTGCCATAGCTGGGCACCGGGACGGAGCCCACGGACCGGTAGTTGGTGGAAAAGGAGGAGCGAGTGGTGAAGCTCATGCTGCCCGGGGAGGAGAGCAGAGGACAGGACTCAGGCTTCGCAGACCGCTATCTTCATATTCTTAGAATAGTGTAAAATTTCTTGACCATCACACAAATAAAGCATTATCCTTAAAGAACATGATTGGTGAAATTATTACTTTTGCACATTTAAAGACATCATTAAGAGAATGAAAAGGCAAATCACAGAATGGGAGAAGATACAGGCACTACAGATGTTTGACAAAAGATTTATCAGAATATATGACATTCTTACAAAGTAATGAGAGAAAGACTAACAATTTTATTTTTAAAACTTGTTTTTACAAAAGATATGAACATGCTCTTCATAAGAGAATATTACTATCAAACATATGAAAGGGCTCTTAGGCTCATTAATCAAGAAAATTTGAAACCACTATGTATCCATCTGGGTGACTAAAATTAAAAAAGACTAACAATAATAAGTGCTGACTAGGTTGTGGAGAAACTGGAACTCTCCTACATTGCTTCTGAGGATAAATTATCATGACCATTTGAAAAACCATTTAGCTATATGTACAACAAGAGAATACACACGCTAGATGATACAGAAATTTCATTCATAGGTAAAATACTCAACAGAAATGTGTATATATGCAGACAAAAGAGCATGTGCAAGAATGTTCATAGCAATGTTATTCATAATAACTGAAAACTGGAAATGAAAATGCCCCTGAGGAGTAAAATAGGTAACCATATCTATATCATGGAATTCTATACAGTAATAAAAATATAAACAAATCACTCTCACATACAACAATTAAATTAATCTCACAGAAAAAAAATTATAGCATACAATTCCATTTAAATGAAGTGTAAGTTTTTACCTCTGGGGAGCAAGAGACGATCATTATTAGGAACAAGAAAGAGAGGATTGTCTGGATGTTGGTAATGTTATGTTTCTTCACAATCATTTTGTAAAAATTCATCAAGCAGCACAATGGGGATTTATGCCTTTATCTGTATGCATTTTATGTTTTAGCATAAAATGTTATTTTAAAATAAAATATAAAGGGCTTGCAATCAGTACACGGTGATTTTCTGAATCAGCCCAGCACAACCTTTAAAAAATATGTATCAGGTCTCATGCTAAAATCCATATTAATAACAGCCGGATAGTTCTTTGTATTTTACAAAGCCTTTTCATGTTATCTTTGTATTAATGTAATGCAATGGTAAACCAGGATTAGAACATTTCTGAAGTGAAGGGGAACCAGAGCCCAGCTATGCCCACACAAAATCTGTATAAAGTTATCTCACGATTTGAGAGGGAAAACTGCAAGAGAATTAAAATGCTAACTTTTTTTAATCTCCCAAGTGTCTCCAGGGAAGTCCAATTTTATTTTTCTCATCCCTTCATCATATGTTTTCCACGGTCTTTTCCCCTTTTTCTTCTTTTCTCTCTCTTCCTTTTCTTCTCCTCTGAGTTTCCTTCCTTCTTTTCTTCCATTTTCTTCCTTCTTAGGTCTCCTCTACGGTAGTTCCATGGAGATAGTAGAGACTGTGGTGAATGTATCACCATTAAGGCTATTGATGGGGACAATGGTTTATTTTTTTGTTGTTTTCCATTTCAAACACTAGTGCTAATTCTTTATCAGTCTAAATGTTCTCATAAGAAATATGGTAGAGCACATGATATAGGTAGTTCACAGTCGACCAAAAATTCATGGTCTCCTATCCATAGTGTAGAGATTCTTTGAAAAGTGACTGCCCAGCTAGAACTATGTTTCCCAGTCTTCTTTGCAACTAGGTGAGACCATATAAATTGAGTTCTAGCCTATGAACTCAATATTTCCACTCATGCGTTACGTGCCATGTCCAGTTCTGGTCCATAAAATTCTTTTCTCTGGCTTACTTTCCCTAGTAGGGGGAAATCCCTGGTGGGCAAACCTTGGTGCATCCATATACTGATGATGGCTAGGCCTCTGTCGACCTAGATTTCTAAATGACTGTGTGGAGGAAAGCTGCTGCCCACATTTTCCCCTACCTACCACTGGTATATGGACAAGAAATAAACTTGCAATATATTTGAGCCTATATACTTTGAGATCTATTTGTTAAAGCAATTGGCCCTGATGCAATCTTTTTGGAATCTTTAGTAAAGCTCACCAGATTATTTTTTCCAAGTTCTAGGCCTGATAGGTGGTAAAATTTCTGTGACTACTCCTGCTCATAGGGGAGACTAAATTTTCCACTCCATGGAATGTCATTGAAAACATTCTTCCTCAAATAGTTTGTTCTCTGAAACAGGGAACAGAGAAGTTGTGTATCATATCTATTCACCAATGAGTCAAAGAAAAGGCCTGGGAAAATGCCAATTAATTCTTGTGGCCTAAATAAAGAAGAGATGTCACATCTTTTCTCTCTAATTCTACAGATCAGTATCTTTATCAAGGCCTGTATGAAATGGCTTTACTAAGGAACCATTAGAGGCCTCTGAACAGAGTGCAATAACTGAAAATAATGATGGCACTTAGCAACATTTCATTCAGAAATACAGTGGTTTCCTGAAAACCCAGCTTCAGAATTTTGTGGTTTGGAAACCAAAGACAGGCTTATTTTGTAAGAATGTCTTGTTTTTAAAACAAAAAAAAAATACTGAGTAGTTTGGTGAGTGCCCCACTATCCAAGCCTCCTGCTTCGTAAAACAATGCCAAGGAATTCCAGTGGTCTGGTACACATTTGGGTTGGCAGGTGCTTTACGCTTAAGGGCACATGAGACTTTCTCAGATTGGGTCAAACTGCTCTAATCATAACCTCGAAAAACCATCCCAGGGATATCTTAACTCCATCCCCAGGATATCTTGGAATCTTGAAAAATTAGTAATAAATTGGGGGGTGGAAAGCTGATATAAAGTACTTATGACATGGTCATTAATGCCAAATGATTTTTATCATGACTAATTTTACTATAATAAATACTGAGGGAACAAGAAATGATGTAGGCTATCATTTTAGACCGTCACTGACATAGACCAAGGTACCCAAAGTGTAAACCTTTAATGAAGATAGTAGTTTGTTGTGACGCCACTAAGATGTAAAGTGTCACTGATCTCCATGTGACTCCATTTGGCATTCCAACAGTTCCAGTGTTTATAGTTCAGAGACATCTAATCATGTGGTGGGGTACATTCCATAGCTCCATCTGACAGAATAATTCCAGTGTGTCATTTCATAGGAATACTGAACTAGACCCTAACTTGGCTAATACTTGGGTACTCCAAATTCCCAATGGATTGTTTTTGATGGGAATCTGGCCCCAACAGCTCTGAAATGCTGGCGCTTAACCTCTACAGCTAACCCAAGAACTATCTATCCCAGATCTTGTGTTTGAGCCAGTACATCATCCTGGACTAACAAATGTAAAAATACTCTGTTGAAGAAAAATGGATTTGATCCAAATTCAGGACTACAACTTCAGGCTAATGATCATCACCAAAAGGCTTGTTCTTGTGCCTCAGAACCACTATGCCTCCATGATTGTAGGGATTGGCAAAGTCCACAGAGAGGACTTCGTACACAATCTCTAGTCACACACACACACACACACACACACACACGCATACAAATGCACACACAGTTCTCTGAAATGGCTATAGTACTGAAGTCATAAACCTCAACCATCCTAGAAACAGACTACATCTCTCTCCACTAGAATTGTTAGAGGGATGAACAAACGAGAGTTTCCCTATAGAATATAAATCCCTTTTGACATATTTTAAATTAAGCACAGATTTTTTATCTTATGAAAGTAACATATGTTTATAATAAGTCCAGACAATATGGGTAATCTGAGATAAATTCATAGTTGTACAAGCTATCGATAACAACTATTAATATTTTTGATGTACATTTTTCCACCTCTTCATTATTGAGCATCATAGCCACTACCCATAAGAGGCTACTGAGCACTATTAAGCACTTTAAATACAACTTTTTTTTTTGAGATGGACTCTCACTCTGCAGCCCACGCTGGAGTGCAGTGGCGTGATTTCTGCTCACTGGAACCTCCACCTCTTGGATTCAAGCAATTCTCCTGCCTCAGCCTCCTGAGTAGGTGGGATTACAGGCAGGCACCACCATGCCCAGCTAATTTTTGTATTTTTAGTAGAGACGGGGTTTTGCCATGTTGGCCAAGCTGGTCTCGAATTCCTGACCTCAGGTGATCTGCCTGCCTTGGCCTCACAAAGGGCTGGGATTACAGGTGTGAACCACCATGCCAAGCCAAAATACAGCTATTTTGAATTAAAATGTACTTTAATGGTAAAATACTAACTGGGTTTCAAAAACTGTATCAAGAGGCCCAACACAGTGGAAGAAAAAAAAAAAGTCTTTATTTCTTGGTTTTTCAAAAGGTTTTCAAAATATATGACAATATTTGTCTCTCACCGAAAATAGAAAGATGAAAGAACAATAAATATTATTTATCATGGTGGCTATTACTAAAATGTGGAGTAGTGCATCAATAGAATTAGTGGAATTGGCTTTGAACTTGAAAGCACAGTGTAAATGCACCTACTGTCCAGCTTTACTGAAGAGATCAACTCTACTTCAGTAAAATACGTAATATCTTAGTTTAACCCCAGAAATTGAATGCTGTTTAACTGTGCTCTGTAAACATTTCATGAGAGTAAACCACATGCGTTGGTGGTATTCAGAGCATTTTACATGTGGACAGAAATAAAATCCTAGAACCTTCATTGGTATTACATCCATTTTTAAGACAGTAAATAGAAGAGAAGTACCTACAAACATCCCCTCTCTTAAACATCCCTGGCTTTAAATCCTGCACTCTTTTTTTCTGTTTTTTATTGAAATTTTTTGTTGTACCAGGTGAAATGTAGGTCAAGTTGATAGTAAGTGCTGGATAAAAATCTGTTTATACCAAAAGTAAATAGTAAAATCCTCCCAGCCTAACACTGTTTAAAAATATTTCTCCTGACAACATGCTATTCAGGGTATCCCCAATAAATTTAATGTTGAGGAATTCCTAACATAGACCTCTCTGGATGCTAGACTTTAATCATAACTGCATAATATTCTCTTAGGGAAAGGTTATAACAATTTAAATTCACAAGGCCTTGCATTCCTGGGGGTCAATGATGAGAAGCACAATCACAATCTTATTCAGGTTTCTATGCTTTGTGTTGC